AGAAAGGTAATTTTAAGTTTAGTGTATGTGCGTGTGTGTGCACGCATGCGTGTGTGTGTGTGTGTGTGTGTGTGGTGGCAGGGATGGAATCACCCCAGGGTTCACACATCCTAAGCAAGCGCACTACCACTGAGCCCGCAGCTCAGAAGGTTAATTTTCAAAAGGCAACCTTTGTCTGAATGGCAATAAGTGACCAAAAGGTAAAGGCTACTGACAGTAAAACGAACACGAATCGCCTGTCAAAAACCATCTTAGCAACTGAAACCACAGTACTTTAGTCAACAGTTCAAGCAGTCACTTGAAGCAGACCCTGAGAGTGGCTGGTAACAGCAGGAAGGGAGAGTGCCACTGAGTCAGAACTGCAGCAGAGATGAACACAAATCTGCCAAATGACACACCAAGAAGCGGGGTGTGTGCCCTTCCAGATGCACCAAGTTCTGTGGTTTGGCGCTGACAACCGAGGCTTTGCAGGGTGACCTTGACATCAAACGATGGGAAGTTGCAAGACTTCTATTGCCATAGTAATAAGTAAATACGTCCCACATATGGGAGCACTTTATAAGACATTCATTATAGTGGCATTTGGGACACTTGGCAATACTGCCAAGGAAGCCTACTATGTAGGTGTAGCTAATAAAGTTATAATCGCTATCACTTGCATAGTAACTACAAAATGCAAGCCAGCTAGCATTCCAATTCTCACTCAATAGAGTGAATAACATATGAGGTAAATATTACTTGAACGTTGGGGAATTTAGCCATATAAAACAGCTAACGTTTCATCTTTCAGACTTTCTTTCTGCCCTTCCTTCCCATCCATCTACCTGTTCATACAAACTCAGCCTTGTTCCAGAAAACATTTAACATGATAAAGAATGCATACAAATACAACATAAATCAACTGTGTGGGGAAAACTGGGATGGCATGGACCAGTATGTTAACAGTGATATTAACACAGTTAAATGTTTGTTCTCATATCTTAATTTTATTACTGCTTCTGGGCCTTTTGGTTAAGGTCAAGTGTAGTATATTTAAATTTCATAAATTTCACCCAAATTTTTCTTTAGTTTTAGAATTAGAATAACTTAGAGCTTTAAAACATATGCTTTAAACAGGAGAGAAGCACTTGTAAGGCTGAGGCAGGAGGATCACCATGAGTTCGAGGCCAGCCTAGGCTACACAGTGAGTTCGAGGCCAGCCTGAACTACATTGCGAGAAAAACAAAAATAAAGGGGTGGGGGTGGGGATATGGAAAATAGAAAATAGAAAAGGGAAGATGAACAGTAATAAGATGAGTACAAAGGCATAAACAGATGCAGGTCACAACACTGGTTTTAAAGGTGCTCACGGCTCCACTGAGCAACCTTCTACTGGATGAGTGTGTGGCCCGGGAGCCGCGTCTTCACCCAGCATGGCAGGATTCCCAGTGACTGAATTCCGAGGGGTGCGAACACTGCAAAATCGCAAAGTGACGGATGGGGTGGCAGGATGTTTTATGAACCCTAAGTTGAGACAGCAGAGCCTCCAACCCTGTCTCGGTGACGTCTGGCGCGTGTCACCTTGGTCGGTGTTTTGAGAAATAATTTAAAAAACCCTAAATTGGCTTAGCCCAGTGTTTCTGCCTCGGGGCTTCGCACGCCGCCCCCTCTCCGTGCGCCGCTCCTTCCACCAGCGGAGACTGACGCTGCGTGGAACGTACGGTTGCACACCGCTCATCTGGCTTTGGAGCCCAGCCCGTCTCCCGTGGAGCGGGCCGGATAGGGATGCTGGTTCAGAAGAGGAGGTCACAGGAGCGCATCTCAGGGCAGCTGGCCTCATCGCTGCCTTAGGCCAGAGCCTGCTCCAGAGCAGCCCAGAGCCGTTGTGGGGCGCATGTCTGTAATTCCAGCACTCTGGGAGGCTGAGGCAGGAGGACCACAAGTTGGATCCTCACCTAGGGAATTTAGTAATTGAGACAGTGTCAAAAAAAAAAACACTGAAAAAGGAGTGGGGATGTAGCTCGATGCGAAGGCCCTGGGTTCAGTCCCTGGTACAGCCAGCTTTAGCTGAGCCAAAGGACAGATGTGCACCACGACCTCTTCATCTGCCGTTCCTCCTGGGACAGCACAAGCTCCCAGTACCTGTAGCAGGCAGAAGCAGAGGGGAGGCAGGGGCCAGGATTGAAGTCCAATTTAATCCCAGACCCGGGCTCAGAAGACTCGAGTTCATATTTACCTTCAAAATAAATCTTAACACTGCAGGGAAAAAATTTTAAATTATGTTCACGGTCTTTCAATTTTTCAATATTTATACCTTTCTTTCATTCTTTGTTTTTTGAGGCAAGGTCTCACTATGTAGTCTGGGCTGGCTTTGAACTCACTATGGAGCCCAGGCTGGCCTAGTACTCATGGAGATCCTCCTGCCTCAGCCTCCTGAGTGCTCAGATTATAGGCATGCACCACCACGCCAGGCTACACAGAACATCTTAATTACTGCTTTCATCGCCTTTGCCTCTTCTCTCTCCCCCTCGATCTCTCAATACTCTTCCCTTTGGGAAAGATCTATCTTGCTACTTCTATGATCTGTTTTTATTTTGCTCTCTATTTATAATTCACACAGTGGAGTACTACTCTGCCATAAAGAAAGATAATTTGAGTCATTTGTAGGAAAATGGATGTACCCTGGGACCATAATGTTGAGTGAAATAAATCATACTCACAAGCTTAAATATCACATAGCTTCTCTTGTATGAGAAACCCAAGTTATAAAGAGCAAAATAAAAGGTCTTCTATTTTTATACAGAATCAGTCAAAGTAATTTTTCAAATCCAAATAGTTACAATGGAAATACTTCACTGTCAGTCAGCAGAAAGAGAAAGGTTTTGTTGAAAATACAAGCAGTTTTTATTTTAAATCTATCCCTCCCATCAAATTTTTCCTAAAAAAGGAAGAGTTTTCATTCTCAAAAGGAGCACTGCTGATGGAGGAGGATGGGGCAGAAAGGACATGCAAAAGAAGTCACATAAGTCTCACCACAGCAACGGGACACACACGACACACACTGCACTCTGCACACTTCAGGGAGGCGGCCCCGTTGCCTTCCGCTATTATGAAATCCACACGTTTAAATAAAATATACTTGTAAAAACTGTTGCTGAAGTACAGAGCAGGATAATTTTCTTTAATTATGAGCCCAGCTGATTGGATAGCTAGTCACCCTTGGCCTGAACAGATTTTTACTCTGGGCCTCCTGTATATTGCCATTTTGTGATGCCCAACCCAGTTCCCAGAAGAATGGCCTCACTGGAGGTACCAGGATGCAGACTGAAAGCAAAGCTGAGAGGTCAACTGTGCTTTAGGCAAATTAATAATACAAGGGAAACCATTATGCAAAAATCATTGCTCGCTGCAAATATCTGACGATGCATTATAAAAGTATTTTGAAAAATGTTGATAGAATTCTCCATTGAAATGCATAAGTCACCTTAAACTGCAAAGGAAAAATATTAGGCTATGAAAAATGGTACAGGATTAATGAAGCCACCCCCTTTGGCAGATTTCAAGAGATGGAAGCGGGAAAATATTTCTTTCCATCGCTCCATTGCTCTCTAAATGGCATATTTGCCTGTGGAAGAATCTGAGTTCATACATTTACCTACTCTGTCCTCTTTGGAGGGACAAGAAATTGGTTTAGAAAAGAGCTTTATAGTTCTGAGTAATTAAATGTCATATTACAGGAAGTAAGGAACACCATGCCCCGCAGAGAGTGAGCATAAAAGTTTGAGCAGCCTAAAATTAGTGAGGATTAGAGAGAGTTCTACCAAACAAAGAGCAATGATTTTAAAAAATAAACAAATACACAGTGGAGCCTGGGTGCACTCAGAGCACTTGCTGGGCACACACAACAGCCCTGGTTCCAACCCCAGCACTGCAAAACAAACCAATACATAAGCAAGTACAGTAAGAACTGGGGAATAACCAGTAGAAGAAACCCAGATTTGATTCATAAATTTCCCCACGTGTACATTGCACACCTTGGAAAGCTGCAGAGTATTAGAGTAACCATTCTACTTCAGAACAAAACGAAACCAATGCAGCCTCAGAAGAACAAAAAAAATCTAAACACTAATCTCTTTTAAACTATTTTTAGTTTTTCCATTGTCAGCCACAAGACTGAAAGCATTCTGGCCACAGAATGGTCCTGTGATGCTGGACTTGACCACACAGGTGCTGCACTCATGTGCATAAAAGTCACCAGAACCTCGCTCAGCCCCTGGGACGCAGCGAGACAGGCAACACACCTGCGGTGCCTGCCCAGAAAGTGACATGTGACACCACAGGAGAAGAGCCCGCAAACGCCAGGAACAGAAGAGTGTGATGGAGACGGCTTTCCAGACCCACATGATCGTGACCAAAGTTCTAATGACGCATAGAAACAACTCCTTCAAGGACTCTCTCAATTCATGGTTTCCTCTGCCTTTGAGTTCTCAGCAAGGAATGATTCAACAATAGTTAAGAATCTTTCTGGAAGACACAGAATACAACTTCAGCAGAAAATGTCACAAGTGTGAAAAATCAAGAAATAAATGTCACATTGCAAAGGCAAACAGCACAGTGAAAAAACAACAGCCTTGAATTCTTCTTATGAATCAAGATACTCAACATGAGATATGAAAATTCAAACGGGTTAACTTCCAGATGAGTACTTCTTTAAAATGACTGTATTACATACTCAGAGATGAATGAGGCAGGATTTTAAATAGTTCACAATTTAAAAATTCAGCATTAATTTGTTTATTCATGTAAAATGCTTTTCTAACTCCTATTAAAAGATCCTAACTAAAACCATTAAAATCCATACTGATGTGCAAATCTTTTTTTAATCTTTCTTTACATTACATTCATCTGACAATCAGCATTTGGAAAATATAACTGAATGAAAAATATTTACATTTTAAAAAGCAGAAGGGAAAAAAAAGAACATCTTTCTAATGAAGTTTAATCAAATAACTGAAGTCTACCTCTCCTGCTCCTGCTTCATTCGTATTCTCTCCTCTTCTGACGTAAAGGATTCCTGTATTTTTATTTTACCCGTTTTCTCAATCTTGTCATCTTTTCGATGTTTGCCAAACCTGTTGATAACAAAAAATTCTAACTTGTCAATATATACGAGATGAGCTTTCTTCCATTTGTGACAAAGACATGTACTCGGTGAAATCTTAGCCTCTTCAAATACAGGCCAGCTGTCTCCTGCAGTCAGTATTTATAATTTTCAGTCAGAATATCTCATTCATTTTTAATCAAAACATTCCAGAGGAAAATCCTTATAGAAAATGGCCTCAATACCCGTTTTCCTTTTGGCAAAACAAAAACAAAAATGAACAAGGAGACTTGTAATTCATCCTTGGGAAACAAACCAGTGTACAGGAGGAAGTGTGGAATATTTCAGAGGCCAGGAAAGAGCTGCAAAGGAGTAAGTACCTCTGAGGACTAAAGAACGATACCCCACCCTCATCTATTTAATCATCTCGCCATAAACAACTACTCATTATTTTCACAGCCAGGATTATTGGAAACATTCATCATGGTTCACACACTGACCAGAGAGGCTACATTTGCGGTATCGGATGGACCGGGGATAATTCATACCACGGAAACTCTAAGAGCTGATTGAACAGGCGCTGTGGGCTTCTCCTCAAAGCCCCGAAGCCTGCCGAAGGCAAATGCTGAGCATGGCGTCTCTGACTTAGAACCCTGCACCTGACCAAAAGTAGATGCAGGCGACACAGGGCCCCAAACGGTCCATGAGCTGCCATGGACAGGGCGCCCCGAAAATACTGACATTACCCTGTTCTGGCATCCACAGTGCCCAAAACCCTCAAACTCGGTATCGGTTCTCCTTCCTGCTATCGTTTTCTGAGACCCACGGCCTGCAATGCATCGTCACATCCTCTTCAACTGTGACTTTCTGTTTCCCAGATGTTTCAAAAGAGAAATATTTCATAGGCAGTTACACAAAAGAACGGTCTTAAATAAAATAGTGATACCTCGGTTGTCAAACTCAATTCGTTCCAAATTCATGTTCAAACACCAAAAAGTTTGAGAACTAAATATATTTTTCTCCTAAGAAATAATGGAAAACCGAATAATTGGTTCTGAGGCCCAAAAATTACACTTTTAAATTCACTTTTCCAGGACTTTCACAATTTCTTTTCTTTAATTCTCTCATGATTCTCACAGTTTTCCTCTTAGCTTTCCTGCTGGTATCACTAACTTTTGGATTTTTTTTTTTCCAGATTTCTGGTTCGACTATCAAGCAAAGTTATGAGCACGGAGCAGACACTTTTTGAAATTTGCTGTTAAAGCAGTGGAAAGTTTGAGCAGGGAGACATCGGACACCAGAGGTATCGCTGCATACGAGTGTGGCAAACCTAGGGCACGCGAGCGGCAGCAGGCACACAGCCTCTCTGCCGCAGGCGAGCACTGCACTCTGGTTTAATAGCAGGGGGCCACTTTGTGGAAAATAAGTGGGCTTGGGGTTGTTCGCCACCACTGAAATACACTACACTGTATCTTGCTGAAAAGGAACCAGGAATATGACCTGTGGAGACAATTTCTTCTCAAAGAGGAGAAGAAAGAGGATTGTATTCCCCAAGTCCTCCTAAAAGAGAAACAACTACTATATTTCAATTAATAGCTTGGTCAGCAGCATAGGCATTTTTAAAATCAGTATAAATCTGGTCTTAAATATGTACTTGGCTACACAAGAAGTATCTGTGAGAGTATCTCAGATGGTAATTAAGTAACACTAGATTTGCAAAGGTTTATAAATAAGGAAGGAAAGCATTCTTAAAATGTAAGACAAAAGAAGAAAAATACGACCATGACTATTCTTTTAAAAATTATGTATTATACTACTAGAAAGCAATCTAGACTGGCCATAAGATAACTATAAAGCAAATCTATCTTTAACATTTAATCTTATTTGGAAACTGGAAACTCACTGCAATTGCGAAAGAAAAGAAAAAAATCACCAATAACAAACCTAGAACCTACCACTGCTCATAAGGGATAAAATATGTACTGTGTTTCTAAAACTAGGCATATAGAAGTCATTAAAGGTAAAACTTCTATTTTCATCAATATATCAAACATAATGATGGGCTTTAAAGAATGAATAAAAGGGGCAGGGGATTTAGCTCAGTAGTTTCACCACCTGCTGCGCAAGCACAAGGGCCAGAGTGCCATCCCCGGTACCAAAAAAAACAAATGAATAAAATAAGTGAAAGGACAAACAAAAAATACATCCCAGTAAAAGCCAACATAGTGTTCATTTAGCCCACAAAAATTTATTGAGCATCTACTATGTGGCAAGGACTTATTTATTTAAGGCACTCAAGCTCTAAGCAGTGCACAAAACACACAAAGCTTCTGCAGCTGTCCTAGGGCTGACAGTCTGGCTGACATTTAGGTAAGAGATCAGGAGGTAAGAGAGAGAGAAGAAAGTGTGATGGGGCTGCAGTAGACTTTAGACAGAATGGTCAACGTTGGCCTCCATGGGAAGATGACACAGATCTGAGGGAAGTGAGGCAGCTGACAGTGCTGGGGCGTCAGCAACACAAAGGCCAGAGCAAACTCCCAGGCCCCCAGGCACCGGGCGGGCAGTGACAATGTGGCAAAGGCTCAGGAGAAAGAGACCACAAGAGGGAAAGAAGTGAAGAGACAGTGGCAGGAGGGTCAGGCAGGACCCTGCAGACTGCAAGGATCCGGGATTTTACCGCGATAAGGCAAAAGTCGCTGAAGAACTCTGAATACGGAAGTGGCCCTGGGTGACATTTTAACAATACCGGCTATAGTGTGAAGAATGCACTGAAAGTAAAATGAAACTGGGGAGGATATTTAGGATGTCATGGCATTAAGAGAGGAGGTGATGGAGACCAGGAAAGGCAGTTGGTTTCCGATACCATTGACAGCAGCACTCACGGGACGGGCTGGTGCGGAGCTGGAGGAAGTCTCTGAGCCAGCTACGTGAGGACAGGGGCTGTGACCCGGTGACCACGGGCCAGAGCAGAGACAGTCTGATGGACCAGGAGCAAGAAACCACACGGCAAAGTTGCAGGGACAGCCAGGGCTGCGCAGGATAAGGGAGTGTCATCAGCCGCGTGTGTGACACACACAGGCATGAGACTGGATGTTCAACCTGAAAATTCCGCAACACTGAGGCATCTGGAAGCACGAAGTGTATGAAGTTCCAACTTCTGGTGAGGTGTAAGTTCGAATTTTAATGTATCATATTTACTGATCGTTTTAATCATTTACCTTTTCAGTTCATAAATATCCTTCAAATAATACATTGTTCCCATTTTGCTCATTTCCTTTTTCAAAAGACATTGTGGAGTTTTATGCTCTACATAAATCCAAGCCTGCATCGTATTTGAGAAACACTACGCAATGTCACAGGTAGCATCATAATATCAACCGGTGCCAAAAGGTGAGTTTTACTCTTCCAGGAAGATAATGTGCATCTGCTCTGTGAGTTCATAATCCTGGGGAAAATGCAGACTGGTTGACTGTTGCATGTTTCATTTTTATTATTATTTGAGCTGTGGGTGGCTTGCGGTCAAACCTGGGGCCTCACACAGGCTAGGAAAGCTCCATACCACCCAGCTACAGCCGCAGCCCAAGTTTGGCATGTTTTAAAATAGCTTAGATATTTCCAGCCCAAATCTAACATTGAGTTTAATCAGCTATGTCAAAATCTTTCTTTAAAAAATGCTTTTAGTCTTGTTGGATAAAGAAAGTTTCGGTTTGTTCACAAGTCCCATATATATACAGTATGTATACATATATACCCACTCTGTCAACTACCAGCTGTTGAACTTTGGCACACATGATTAAAATGAAGAAAAAAGAGTAGAATCCTGATTCATATTTAAAAATGCATTTTTTCTTATTGTAGTTGCTGACCAAATATTAGTGTCTTACACTATCTTCTAACCACCAGAATAATTACTATACTATTTGTAACTTTGTTCTCAAAGTATTCAAGAATATTTTCCTTTTTTTATAGAATATTCAAATAGGGAAAGGTCCAAAGGGGTAGGGTGGTGGGAGGAGATGGGGAAAGGAAAGAAGGGAAAGGAAAAATTATGAGAAAAGAAAAAGAAAATGAAGTATGTAAATAGGGAAGGGTGGAGGGGTGAAGGGTGCACAGGTAATGGGGAAAAAATAAGAACCAAGATACATCATGTACAGGTACAAGCACCCAGTGATAAATGTAAACGTATTGTATACCTAACATGTACCAATAAAAGAATTTAACCCAAAAAAAATACATTCAAGATTAATGTATGAAAAAGTACAGAAAGCGTAAATTAGATGTTCATAGGCTAACATGTGGACATCTCCCTTAATATTTGCTCTAGTCAATAAATTAGGTGATTTCTTTAAGGCAGTCTATAAAATTACAGGATATCACTCTATAATTGGGGCAAAAATGGATCAGTCAGTTCTAATTTTCTTGATGAAATGAAATAGACTGTAAGTGAAAAAAATAGACCAGCCATTCTAGAGAGTAAAAAGAAAAATAAAAGTATCTATGCCTACATTCACTGTGACTGCTAATATAGTCTAGTCTGCTTCTACTACCCCCACCACCAGGACTGGGCATTAAAGCCAGGGAGAGCACAGCTACTTCCCCAGCCCTTCTTTTAAATTTTCATTTCGAGACAGGCTAGTCTCCCCCTTGCATCCTCCCTGCTTCAACCTCCCAAGTAGCTGGAATTACAGGCATGTGCTACTGCACCTGGTTTAGTGTGCTTCTTCATTTATAGTTGCTTAATTCTTCCTGCAAAGGTAGAGGGAGACCACTGAAAAATTTAGGCTATATGCATGGACTGTCAAAGTTAGGTTCACAGATGAAATCCACTACCAACCCAGGAAGATAATCACTTACTAGCAAGATGCTTAACAACTTGGAAAACATCAACTGCTTTTATATTAATATCTTTGAAAAGCCACCAGGGCATGAATGTCCGATGGGTCACCTTCTAAGGAACAGCACAGCTGGAGAAATACTGGGCTAACAGAAGGTCCTGAAGGCACACACTTGCTCAGCTGAGAACTGGAGTTT